TTGTTGTCTCACCTCCTGCCGCCTCCCCTCACCGGATAAGGCTCGGATAGCAGGAGCCGTGCGAGGCCTGCGACTTGTCTCGCTTTTACTCGCACGGCCTGCGTCTCACAGCCTCGAGTACGGCGCAGTTACAGCTGGTGATAAGTGGTTTATAGTTCTGCTCACTATCGTTGTTATCTGACACATGGTTCCACTCAGCTTAGGGCTGGAAAACATCCAGAGGCTGAGTGGTCATAGACATACGCTGGACGCAGGGCCCGTTGTTTTTGGCTTTCGTCATAGGTTGCAGTTTTCTTTTGAGACACAGCAATGTCACCAATGACCTCTGCGGGGAAATTGCTTTGGACATTACGATGAGTTGGGCGGTGGAATGCACTGAAAACCATGTTTGTGTGGCATTGTCCGTTAACCAGTGACATCCATGGGGGGTTGAAGTTGCACAATGCTGCAATATTATTCATGAAACAATAGTTTAAACAGTCTTTTCATTGAAATTTTGCCTTTACAACCAGTGAGTGTGCCCTCATATGAGATGTTTCTAGTAAGAAAACCTTTTTTAGAACACCTAATGAAAACACTACTTTTACTGTTAATAAAACTTTTCACTTTATATTCTGCAAGACGTTTTTTCCTGTCAAAAGGGAATTTTTCCTTTCCACCACCACCATGTGCATGTTCTGGATGGTGGATCAGATCAAAGTGAAGTTTTAGAAAAATCTGTTGGTTTCTTTAGCAATACTTTTTGTTTGTTTGTTTATTTTTGTTTGAATATTTTGTGATAGTAAATAGCACAATTAGCATAATTGATACCATTGTTGTACTTTGTTGCACCTTCTTATGAATCTGCTCTGATCTGTCAGTTTATTGATTAGAAATGGTAAATCAATTATCTGATTGAGCCACTTGGCAGGCTATATGCTAATGCATTATTGGCCAAGTTATCCAGACCAAACGGGAGAACAGCTTTGGCATTTCAGACGATTAAATTCAAGGAGAGAATGACTTATATATTTGAATTTCAGAAGTAGTGTTTTAACAAGCTTAGATGAGATAGAATTTCTTAAATAAAAACCAGAAAAATGTTTTGTACGCTTTTTCTAAGTCATATTTGATTGATGGTAAGGAATTTGAATAAAAAGAAAGCAAAACCATCTTGCAATGTGTTGTATTATGCATATCTTATTCATGTCATATGTTTATGTAACTTTATCAGATAAACAGAGTGATAAGAATTACAGTAAAGGGAATACATTTTGTTTTTGTTTTTGTCATTAATTTTTTTAAATTATTATTATTATTATTATTATTATTATTATTATTATTATTATTATTATTATTATTATTATTGTGAGTTTTAGAGAATCCGGCAACAGAAAGCTTCTCTCTCTTGCTTCTAGCATCGGGGCTTAAACGTTTACAGGGACTGGTGATAACAAACTGTCTGGTTAAGCAGATGGAGAGTCCTCGCAGGACAGATTGTCTCGCTGTCAGATAAACGCTCAGATGTTCCCTCAACCTTTCACACCAGCTATCTGTTGATAAATGGACACGTGTTGGTCATTTGTGGCATTTTGAGCCAGAGATCTGGATTCGGATCCAGCTAATGACTCACTCAGTTTGTCCAGATAGTTCGCATGTGGGAGGGCGTTTGTCCAGGGCAAGGTCCAAATGCACTCATCAGAACAGGCTTCGAGAGACCCGTCTAGGTTTATTTCTGTGTGGCGTGTGTGTGTTCTTTTTGTGTTGCCAGACATTCTTTTTTCCAGCGAATTTCTCTCCACATCTGGTTTGACTTTCAAGAGGAGGAAAATGTTGCATCATCAGACTTTTCCTCCTCTTGATTCCCGAAGCTGAGAGAGCTGCTCGTTGAGGGTTAAAACAGATGCCTAACATTTCCAAAAGGCATTCTTTCCCTCCTGTTCACTCAGTTTACCTACAAGTGACCAGCACAGCTGTTGAGGCTTTTATTGTGGGGTCTTATCAGTAGCTGTCTGATAGCAGGCTTTTTAAGAAGCAAGACTTTAAATCAATGCATATCACAAGATATTTCTTATCGGCCGAGTGTTCTCTGAACTCAACTTTAGTTTGTTTGACGCCTACTTCAGTCTTGAAACACTTTCAACTGCCCATGTGGAAACAAATTCCTTGAATGTCTGGCGTTGCCAGGGTAACCGATTCATCCGATTGACGGTCCTTAGTTTTACTTTGAGAAACTCTGCATCATCCATTGGCACTTCTGAGGATAGAATTAAATAAAAAGCTCAACTCTACCGAAAGAACAGCAAAATGGTGCTCAGAGGTCCATCATTCCGAGGACAAACACGATACCGACTCTGCGGTTTTCTGCAGAGCAGCTCATCTTCTAAAGTCGTTCCTGCTCCCCGTATCTCGATATTTCGGACATAAACTTCATGAACAACAACGCGGTCCACCCCTCCTGGCAAAACGTTCAACCTAATCTACCAAGCAGCGCTAACCTTGTTACTAGTTTACTGCCAGTTCGACATTGGTACAGATGTGAATATTACCAGCCATGGTCAGCATTTCCCTCACTAAGGTTTAGCTTCGCACTTGAAAGCAACCTTAAGCCAAACCTCTGTAAGGCCTATACTCGCGTGCCTGCGCTACTTTGGCGTTTTTCATGCTAATAGCGACGCTTCTCTCTGGCCTTTTGATGGACTGGCGTTAAATCTGATGAGCACGTTCCCGTCCCCTCAGGGTGCGGGTTTTGTGTGGGAGGGGTTCTTTTTCTTGCGTCTTCATGATGAAAAAGTTTCGAACTCGTCGGCCTCGTCTGACCCAGTTAAAAAATCTCCCCACCGTGTCTCTGATTTTATTCAGATCAGACATATTAAAAGTGCAGCTAAGCCCCCTGATCAAGATTCTCCCCTCACACTGAGCCTCTGCGATAACCGGTCTGCCTTTCCTTCTCCATCTACAGGCTTCAATTAAAAGATTACAATCTCCTCTTTCAGCGCAGCGAGGCCAAAGTCGTTACACAGAAAAACCCGAGAGTGACTCTTTTTGTCATCGCCCGGGTTTCCGAGCCCCGCTCTAGCTCTGGTTTGTCCTCCCAGTGTCCGCATTCAGGCCCACGGTTCTGTTACCCAGCTGCGGGGAGTCGGGTTACGTCCAGGCCCAAATAACACCTCTCTCACGGGCTGCACAGACAAAAAAACAAAGAGGTTTCTGTTGCGAGCGCGACGAGCCCACACCCCTCCGCGCGTCCCACTCGCCCCTTCGACCGCAACCGCAGGAAGAAATGACAGGGGGAGCCCATGTGTCATTTCGGTACCGGCTCTGTTTTCGTGCAGGCGGAGCTGGACCGCTCCCACTTCCCACTGTTACACCAGAGTCTTTTCCTCTCTCCCTGCTAACTTTTTTTTTTTGTCGTTGCCCGACATCTTGGGGTTCTTCTCTGCCTTGTTTTGTAGTAGAATTGCATCAGTTTGGGGAAAATGGTGGCTGGAGAAGGTCACGCAGGCTAAATCTGGTTTTTGACCCGGTGCTAAAGTACAATAAAAGACTATTAATTTGATTCTAATACAGAATTATTGGAGCCGTCTTCACAGTTTACATGATCAGGACAAAATCCCAGCTCACCAGAGTTTGTGAGGGGAAAAACCTCTGAACAGGATGACTCTTGGTAACCACGCAGAAGTCGTTGCTAGGAAACAATTGGGGGAGGCGGATGCATACACAACACACACACCCACACACATACACACACACACGCACTCACACACTATCATATTCCCCTAAAGATCGGTTGTTTTTGGCAATGCACACTAATCTTTATCCTGGAAGTAAGAAACGGGCCCGCTGGCGGATAAATGTGTAAATATTTGCCTCCCCCCCCTTCTTGAATAGACTTGTGGTATTCTGTCAGTGTTTACATTACTCACACACACACACTGAGGCTTGTAGACAGGCCTTGTAGGGCAGCACACGAGCAGTGTGAGAAGGTCATCCGTGTGCATGAGACGTAGAAATGCTAGAAGTCGTCTCTTTGTGTGTCTGTAATCAGAGCCACATGCCGGACGCTCACCCTTGCCATCCTCCTCCTGCTCTGGCCTCCTCCTCCATCTTGATTTCACTTTCTCCTCACCCGCTCATCCATGCACACAGTGGCAGGCAGAAGTCTGGAGTTAGACTGAAATAGTCACTTAAAAGGGTGTTTAACAGCTTTGTAAAGTGTGTATACCACTCAACCGTATTCATCTGAACTGAACACAGCTATAGATTTAGTTTTCCTTTGGCTTTAGTGTTACATGTTTACCCGTGTTCACTTGGAAATTGTTAAGAGAAACTCTCATATTTCAACAACAGTCAAGGCCGAACTGGAAAAGTGTCGTTTTAAGATCAAGATTAATAATAATTGTTGTAGTTATATTAACACTTGGTGAGAAGAACGAACAACCATAGATGACAATCGGTTGAAAAATAATCCCAAATTGGCAACGTGTAGAGAGCGCTGTTAATAATAACTTGTTGTAAGATTTTAGAGAAATCAAATACAGGAAACATTTATAAGTCCATATAAATATCTTTAGTTAATTGCAAACATTATCCTCACAACTGGCCAGAAAAATGAATAGTTCCCTTAATAACTTTTATTTTGGTTAAATCAAGTTTTTTTTCATACTTTAAGCCATTTTCAGATTTTCCTTGAATTCACAAAGGAGAACAGAAATCCAAAAGCACTTTTTTTTATCCTCAAAGCTTATAATGACTCAGAAATAAAAATGTTCTTAAGAAATGTGCTTATTAGTACAATTATCTTATCTTACCATGTCTTTTTTATTCTCTTTAAGTTTTAAACATTCCCTAAATCCTTATCTACTTTATCTTTGAAAGTCTTCCGATCGCCCCAGCTGTTCTGAGCAGATCGACACATCTGCAGCGCTTTGCTATGTCTGCCTTTTGCTGTGCTCCAGTCAAAACACCTGGAGGTGGAGGAGGAGGCCCTGAACACTCACCTTGTCGAGAGATCCTAAGGAATGTGGTCTAGGAGGGCAGATAGGGGGGTGAAAGAGGAGACGGGGGTAGATGGGAAGATGGAGGGGGGGAGGAACACAAAGGCTCCCCTGGTAGCTTCTGTGTGCGCTCTGAAAAAGTTTCACCACACCGAGAAACACACACAACACCCACGAGAGAAGAAACGGTGATTAGACGGGGCGGGGGGGGGGGTGTTGGCTGGCTGCTTTGGTGGTTCCTGAGGGGGGTAGCTTCAAAGGAAGGTGCCAATGAAGAAGTTAAGAGTGTGTAATTACAGTCTTGTGGTGGCAGGCTGGTAACAGTGTGGCTTTGTGTAATCAGCTGTCTGTCTCTCCTCCATAGTGGGGGTTTCCCCGCACTAAATGACTTTTGATTTTTAATTTATTTTCATTTTTTTTTTATATCCGCAGCACTTCTCCGAGCTCCTCGACGACCTCTCCCAGGATGCCCTGCTGGGCCAGCTGCTCAGCGACCCCTTCCTGTCGGGGGGGCGAGGCGAAGCGGAAGCCATGGAGGGCGAGGACGGCGGCGAGCTGTCCCCGTCCTCCCCTCTCCCGCCGCACATCACCGCCGAGCACAGCTACTCGCTGTGCGGAGACAGCCGGCCTCAGTCGCCCCTCTCACACCTGACCGGGGAGCACGGCAGCGAGGCCGGTGAGACGCCAAGCCTCGGTTTCCCTCCCGACGGGACAGGATTTGGTTCTTCTTGCAGTATTTGCGAAGGGACAATATTAATGCATGTTGCCTCCTTAATGCATATACATATGGCAGCACGCACAGAGGAAATAAAGATCCAAAAAAGAAAAGCTTTTCTGTTTAGCAGGAGAAACCGCACATGGAATGAGAGGGCGCGTTACTCTCCACGCTTTCACCCCCAAAAATGACCAAAGGCTCTGAAAAACGTGCCACCTTTCAGGCGACTCTGTAAAAGAACACACAAACGCTCAGGCAAAGTTGCAAAAATCCCGTTTTATACAACATTCATTAGGGATGTGAATGTCTCACGGGTCTCAAGTAATGCCAATTAAAAAAAGGTAAACATTGGTCAAAGGCACTTTTAAAGCCCGGAAGACAGAAAGTTAGACTTGTTAATTATTGCTATTTGTCTTTAATATTTTACTAAATAAACCATGAGTTACTTTTTTAATACTCAGTAAACCCCGGAGGTTACCTGAATATTAGACAATGATGGAAAGCCAAACTACAGTTTTTGCATTCCTTAAAATATTACATGGCTGGAGCATAGGGCAAAAAAGAAAAAAAAAGATAAAAACATTTGACTTCTCATAAGGTGTTAAAGCACAATGGGTAGTTTAAGATCCACCAAATGTTTACATTCCTGCATAAAAAAATTAGATAATGTTTCTATTCATAACGTGTTCCTTCCCCGCAGCAGAGTCGGACGGGGATTCGGCCGACTGGGTCATGGAGCAGGAGGAGGCCATTGAGGGCCTTCTGTGTGACACCCCCTCTCTCCTCCCGACCCTGTCCCTTTCTCTGGGTGCCACCGAGGGGCCCCGAGCACCCGAGGCCCCGGGTGTGGCCCCCGCCACCGCCACCGCCGCTGTGGCTGCAGCCCCGACGGCGGCCGGCACCAGCCACCAGGGCAAAGCCGTGAAGGTGAGAGATGAAAACCCGGCGTTTTTGGGACGTTTGAACCCGTTTGTGACGCCGCCTTGTTTTCTGCGTCTGCAGGTAAAGGAGGAGAACATCATCCCGCAGATTAAACTTGAGCCTCACGAAGTGGATCAGTTCCTGAACCTGTCAACCAAAGGTCCGGGTTCGCTTTTTGATTCTTTGGTACTTGTGGTTGTTTGAGGCTACGAGGACACCTGCTGGTCAGATGTTGAAATGGCTAAACACCTCAAATCGCTTCAGATTTTTTTAAAGTAATACCTTCTGTTCTCGGTCATGTCCCAGGTCGGGAGTCCCTGCAGATGCCCCCCACGCCCCCCAGCTCCCACGGCAGCGACTCTGAGGGCAGCCAGAGCCCCGTCCACGCCTCCTGCCCCAACTCCCCCACCAGCCCGTCTCCACCTCAGACCAGCCTGAAGGTGTCACCCCGCGCCGCTTCCTCCCTGTCCAACTCCCCGCTGCTCACAGCTCCTCACGTAAGGGCGCACCCTCACTCGCTGCTCTGTTCTCGGCCTCTCGGGCTACCTGACCAGAAGCAGCCAGACCAGATCTAAGGGTCTTAACACGCTGCACAATAGAAGTACACTGAAACTCTGAGGACGTTTTGCCTGAACTCAGCTCAGATCATTTTCTCAGGATTTTCTGTTTCGTCATACTCCAATCTTTCCTCTTCTAAAGATCAATTTAAAGTTGAAATAACCACTTTTATCTGCATCATTACAAGTTGATGTAAGAAAAATCGTCTATGCTGCTATATTACGTTGGAAAATTAGCAGCCCCTCTTTTTATTATTTAGGAATACAGATACCGTGTTGGCAAAGTGAAAATCTCCCAAACCGTGACAGAAGGATCATTTTTATCAAACATTATTGAAATTTGGTGTGCATTTTATTCATTTCCCCACTACGAAGTTATAAGTCTTTGTCATGAATTTTGCATTTCTTTCCAGGATGTTACATGAGAAAATATATGCAGAGTTAAATTGTGGGATTCTTAGGCTTTTGCATACTATGAAACCTGAAACAGCGTTTGAGTTTCCCTTCATCTTCCTTTTCTTTTTTTCTGCAGAAACTGCAGGGCTCAGGGCCGCTTATGCTGACAGAGGAGGAGCGCCGCACGCTGGTGGCCGAAGGCTACCCAGTTCCCACCAAACTGCCGCTCACCAAAGCAGAGGAGAAGGCGCTGAAGAAGATCCGCAGGAAGATCAAAAACAAGGTAAGAAATAGTTTGTTACACTTAATGAATCAGAGCAGTTTTCATCAAATTAGCTATGGATGTGACTGTGTTCGCTCAAAATCCGAACCAGAGCTGTAACTAAGAGTCTTTTCATTACCTTTTGATATTTCCTCATTTCATATGTCTATTTTCTTGCAGATATCAGCTCAGGAGAGTCGTAGGAAGAAGAAAGAGTACATGGATGCCTTGGAGAAGAAGTAAGCCCACCTTTACATTCTGATAGGAATAAAACCATGAAAATCGGACCGCATCAGCCAAGAATTGTCCCCTTTTTGTCTTTTTCAGTTAAATTTAAGGTACTTCATCGTGACATAGAATTTTTTCATCTTTGTAGACCTATTTAGAGGACATAGAATGCAGACAGTTTCTGAGCTATGCAGAAGAGAAGCAACAGATTTGCCAAATATATGGCAAACGATGCATAGGAAGCATTTACACCCACAAACCATTAACAAAATATTTAGAACACGACTGTGGGCCTTTTCTAAAAATAAAAGGGGGGATTTTGTTCAGGCCGCTGACACTGCTGCTGTTTTGTGACCACAGGGTGGAGACATGTTCCAATGAAAACAACGAGCTGCGAAGGAAAGTGGAAACTCTGGAATGCACAAACAAGTGAGAACACAGGGCACACACACAGAGGTCGTCCTCTCGTTTCTCGTTTTTTCTGCATCCTCCGTGTTGCATTCTCAGTTTCTCTCCCCACACATTCCATTCCCTACTCGAGTCTCCCAATGGGAGAGTTTAGAGGTTTTCGGGAACGTTGCAAAAACGTTGCTTGAACCTTTAGTCAACGGGCGAAAACTGAAAGAAGTCTTTCAGAAATGTAAAGAACCTGCACGTTTTAAATACTTTTTTTTAAAATGGTTTTTAAATGAGGCTCTTCCATATGCTCTTAACAAATTAGTTCTCTACAGTCACCGCCTGGGAAAAGGCTGTGCATTTTCTTTTGTAGCAGGTCTATCCAAAATTCCATCACACATAAATGGTAGCGTCGATATATGTGATCACTATCATCAACCGTATTTGAAATCTAAGGGCCAGCAAAATGCAATGGATCTCCCCCCTCACATTTTGTGGACTTGGGACTTAATTACGAGTTATTATTGCGATCTATTAAAGCTTCCCTGTCATCGTATCATAAAGACAGACACGATATAAAAGTTTATCTTTTAAGTAAAAGCATCACAAACATCACTATAGTAACCGCTTATTCCCTAATGGGGTCGTGGGGGAACTGGAGCCTGTCCCAGTGGTCAGTGGGCGAGAGGAGGGGGCACACCCTGGACGGCAGCATCACAAACATCATTGATTAACCACCAAAGCCAGAGTCTCATTATAATCATACCGCACGTTTTTACATTTACTGTCCACTTGATGGCGCACTAGAAGCTCCATGAAGCTTCCACACAGGAGTGAACCAATAGGATGGAGCGCTTCAGTACTTTCTGAAGCTTCATCCCGCCATCGCTAGTATTTTGATGTAAAAAGCTGTTGTTCAGGGCGATTATGAAGGACTGAGTGATGAGTGAGTCTCTGCTGTTGTTTCAAAGTGGGCTTTGACCCTCGTCACCAACGTGATGAACGGAGCAGCCCCTTATTGTTCAGGGACACCTGGACCGCATTGTTGTGTTGGGAGAGGAGCCTACCCGCTGTTTTTGATTATTTATTTATTTATTTTGATGACGCAAACTCTAAAATTAAACCTTAATGCAACATCCGACAAATGCGGAATAAAAGACGTTAACACAGAGGGGATTAAACGATTAACCAGATGGTTCTTTATTAAATTAGGAACTGCGCAAATCCTGCTCAAAAGTCATTTTAATCAGAGCGTAGAGGATGATTTTCGGGGCCAGACGCACTCTGGGACTGATTTCTAGGATACATAAAAGTAGTTGTGTTGGTTTGGTTTGAGGAGTCAATGGAAAACTTCATGCTGTACATACAAATCCGACTAAATAAAAATGGTAGAGGAGTTCATGTTCTCCAACATGGTGGAAGTGTCGGGCTTTTATTGGAGACAGGATTTTATTCAAATATTTCTTCTAGTGCGACTTGTGTTTCTTTTTGTATCACCTTATATTGTCTGTAATGCAGCTTAAAAGAATTGGGCATTGTGCGGGGAAGTGCTGGCCCCTCCTTTCCACATGGGTTTGTCCCCGTTAGCTTCTAACACGGCTTCTCCAACATTACTCTCATCATACCACATCTATTCCATCCACATATTTCTTAGAAATGGAATCAACTGTTTCCTTCCCTTTAACTCATCAGGTAGTAAATGCTGTTGTTTGCTTTGAACACCAGGAGGCAGAGTCAGCTTGCCAAACAGTCCTGTGAAATTGGCTGGTGCCATATAAAGTTTTTAATACTTACATAACTTATCCTGCACTGCATCACCATTCAGAGTTCAGCTGGATTGAACCAAATGGACAAAGTTCCGTTCTCATTTTTTTTGTCAAAATTGCGTTTTAAAACCATCCACCACTCAACATGGATTACTGGATGTAAAAGATTAAACATTTAGATACAATGGAACAACTGACTACAATTGAAAGTCCAGAGTTTTGAAAGACTGTGGAAACCAATTGGGATTTACCTTAATTGTGGTGCATATTCCTTTTGAACACCCACTTCTTTTATTTATTTATTTTCGTCTCTCAGCTTGGGTTACCTATTTTGCCCTTTTCTGTACAATGATAAATAAAATACTCGAGATGTTGTGCATGAATATTGAGGGGAAATCCCACTCTCAGTCTCAGGTTTAAAAATGGGAAAATTATCTGTGAATTGATGGTTTTGGATGGCAATAAAGTTATAAAGTTTTTTTTTTTTTTAAACATCCACCACTAATAGCAGACTGAACCATAGTAGGATAAAGGAATTGCTTAATTTAGTGTAACAGAAGGTTAAATGACAGAACAAAATGCTTAGAATTAACATAAAAAGAGACACACCCAAGTATTTCCTCTCCTGACACTTTCTCATCAAAAAATGTGACTGTGTTGTGTTCCCCGCATCTCCGGTTAAAAGCCGCCTTCATGTAAAAAGCTGCTGCTTTCCATCAAACTACAATGAAACCTTTTCAAGTCGAGATGAAACAAAGTTTCGCTTCATGTGAAAGTCAGTAGAAACCTTTTGTTTCAGGAATTCATTTCCTGGAGAAAAAAAAGGGTGGGGGGAGGATGGGGGGGGGGGTTTGTTGGGTTATGGCGAAAAAAATTCCCAGGAAAATGTGGCGTTATTTCATTTTCATTTTTATCAGGAAAATATGTCCAGCAGATTGACCCGAAACAAGCTCGCATTAAACTCTCCGCCTCCATCAGCTATGACAGTCAAATCCGTTTCTAAAAGAACGCGTCACTAATTCTTCTATATCATGAATGGAACTGTTCCACGCAGCAGGGCGACTGATCGGGATTTCAAGCACACATTGCTGATTACACCCGGATACATTTATGATAGAACGCCATGACATTTTGAAGTTATCTTCTGCCGTCTCCCTGTGTGTCAGAGCACGTAAAAGATGCTTTCGGGCTGCCTGTCTACGGCTCGAAACCTAATAACACCAACGCACCGGCACAGAACCTGTCCGTCGGCTGGTTCTGCGAACGAGAAAATAAGAATGAACAGCTGTTTTGAACGGCTGAATCTTGAACTGATTAGGCGGAAAGACCAACTGGGACTTTCAGAAGGCGGGAGGCCTTAAAGAAGCAGAAGCTAAAACGATGCAGTTAGGGCCGAAGTTCACAAAACAAATGTTTAGAAAACCAAAAAACGGAAATTAACAGACTAATGACCCCTGGAAATATGTTTTGGAGTGCTCCAAAGTTTGTTTAGTGCCTTCTTTTTTGCATCTCCTCCCTAAAGAAAGCTAAATGTACCTACATACAGATAACTAAAGGATGCTAGAACAGAATGGTGGAGATTTTACTGAGAGGAAGATTTACAAACTTTGGAGCCTAAAAGCAGGAAAAGAATGAATGAAAATTCAGATCATAGTCTGCAAGCATAGTCACAAGAAGGGAAACTGTAAGAATTATAACCAAAAAAAGGAGACTGTAATCAACTAAACCCTGTGGGAGTCATGATATATTCCCCTGTGCGGAGCTTTGGCTGCCGACCACAAATACAAACATGAGCTTAATACTCTAAAACTCTTGAGTGGTGTTAATGTAAGAGGCTTTAAAAATGGGGACATTGTCCACATTTTGGACTCACTTTGCTTTGCTTTGTTTGTTTTTGTGGGTTTTTTTTTTGGTCCTACTGTAGAACTGGGGGTGGGTGGGAAAAGCTCTGTGTTGGGTTTTGCGTGCCTAACCGGTGTGTGTGTGTGTGTGTGTGTGTGTGCTCTTCTCCAGGTCTCTGCTGCAGCAGCTGCAGTCTCTGCAGGCGGTGGTGGCAGGAAAAGTCCACAGGTCCTGCAGGGTGGCTGGCACCCAGACATCATCATGCTTAATGGTACTTTTGTGTGCGCGTGTGTGTGTGTGTTCGTGTGTGTGTGCGTGTGTGAGTCGTGTGGGTGCGCCCGCTAACAAGAAGTCGATGGAGCATTGATTATTGAATTGGAAACATCTGCTTCCATTACTCATTTGCAGCTTAACATTTTGTTTTGCTTCATAATCTATTTACCCGCCTCTCCTCTCCTCTCCTCTCCTCTCCTCTCATATCCTCTCATATCCTCTCCGCCGGCAGGTGGTCGTGCTGTGCTTTGCTCTGTTTTTGGGGAGCTTTTACCCGAGCAGCTCGACGCCCTTCTCCAGCCTCACCGAGACAGGCGTGGCCTCCAAACAGATGGCGGTCAGGGAGTCTTACACAGCCACAGGTAGCAACACACACCCACCCACGTCAGGACGATGACTTAATCCGGTTCATCCAACGCCATCAGACTATTTCGATGGAGAAGAGTTTGGCCTTTTTTTGTGAAACTTTCTTTAAAGACGAGAGAGGCACTTTTAAATTAAGAATTAAAAGCAAAAACCATTCTGTCTGTAAAAGATTTATTTTTACGGATGATCGGGACAAATCCTTGAAATAAAATCTGTATCTTTTCTTAATTTGAAGCAAATGTGTGGTTCAAAAGCTAGCTTTCATCACAAAATTCAAGACTTCAACACCTTCATTGACTGCCAGCCATTTTCAGAACAGAGAGTCGCTCACTGCCAGAGTTTTTTGAGAATTTTGACTGATTTTTCAAGAGCCACAGAATAGTTTGTGCTATGACTATGTAAACACCGAACACACCAAAAGAAAGAGTAGACTCTCTTCTTTCATCAGGAAAAAAGATTTTGTTTCTACCTCATTCCGTTCTTCTTCGACGTGCGTCTCACCGGCGCCATTTCTCTCATAGCGAACCATTGCGTTTGTTTTTATTTACCTACAATCTATGCTAATCTCCCATCAAAAGTGGCACAGCTACCTAGAGGGTAAATTTGTTAGTCCATACTCTGTCTAGAAGCCGATATTTACGGAAAAACTTTCGCCGATCGTCCCCCAAGCCACTCGCATTGAAAAACATAAAAGACGTCTATAGACGTCTTTGGCAGTCAGCGGTTGGATTTGAAAAGACGTCTATAGACGTCTTTGGCAGCGAATGAGTTAAGGGCACGTTTACACTAAAAAATGGAACTCAAACTGAAAGATTTTTAGATTTGGGCCTCAGCTAGCTTAAATGTGGCATGAACGAAAGGAAATGTAAATATGAGTTTGAGCCTTGTCCTTAATTTAAATCCGACTTTTTGTGTGCCACACAGAAGACAGACACATATTTGGGGTATTAAGCAAAAAAAGAAGGTTTTAGTGGCTGGTAGAGACCAAAACAGAATACGTCGTTGTGTATCTCGCAAACTAGGCTTGAAATGGAAAAAGCAATGCTGCATTTCTTCCTGTGGACTGAGAGTTTCAGGAGGACCTTTGTTTCTCCCCCGGAGTCATAAAGCTGTTTAACAGTAACTTGCAACACTTTTCTCACACATTTATTGAATTTCTTTGGCTAATATACTGTCATTTTAAATATAGACTAACATACAGGTAGACTAAAACTTCAAGAATAACTAACAGCAGGTGGTAAACACATGATAAACATACTTCGGTATGATATTTATTTAGAATGTTAGGTGAGACGGGGCTATTAAAGCCTTGTGCTTAACAGAGTTTTCAGCTTTCCTGACCTGCCCTGCTGTTCCTATTGTAATGAATCATTAGTTCCGGGCTATAAAACTGTGGAGGCCCATTATAACATCGCCACTAATCAGATTCCACCTACAGCTCAGCAGTGGCAGCTACAGAGACTGATTTAAAGAGTTGACCTTTCACCACATCCTCATTACCTCCTACACACGCTCTATCTCTCTCCCTCTCCCTCTCTCTCTCTCTCTCTCTCACACACACACACACACACATGTACACACATTTGCTTCTTTTTTTTTTGTAATAGAAACCACATATAATTTTCTTAACAATCGAATTCCGTTTTCCCTCCCATCCTGCCTCCCCACACACATACAAACAGGCAATCTGAGCAGATTTTTTTTTCAAAAATCAGATGTGCCACAATGTTAGGAATTATGTTGTGGGCTGTTGGTGCTCTCAGCCTGGTTATTGCTTAATTTTTCTGTGTGAGGCCGCAGTGACCTGAAGCTTAGATTGATTTCTATGCAAAAAAAAAAAAAAGCAGAAAGATTGATTCTGATCGTGTGTGTGTGTGTTTGTTTGTTTGTTTTTTTTTCTTCTCATGGTTTCAGTGAAGTCCAGAAATCTGCTGTCCACCTTCGAGGACGAGCAGCCGCACCTCCTGGGCCTGGGCGGCGAGTACCCCGAGCAGTGGGAGGACGCTCCGGCCGTGGTGATGGCGGCGTGGCGGCGCTCGGAGCAGCAGAAGCTGGCGGTGGAGCCGGGCGGGGGCGAGACACGCCCGCCGCCGTTCAGGAGCAAAAGCAACGAAACGCAGGCGCAAAGCGAGCTGCTGCTGGACCTGCAGAGGTAAAAAAAAACGCCCGGCCAGAGGGCCAGAAAGCCCTCGTCCGAAGCGCCTCTCCCAGTGTCCGTCAGCGTCTCAGCCCCTCTTTTGTTTCTGTTTTTATTTTTATTTTATCTCGCAGGTCTCTGGAACAGAGAGCGAGTGAGAGCAGCAGGAAAGTGATAGAGCTGGAGCGATCGGTCAACGAGACCTCCTGAGGTCGGGAAAGTCAACACCGCCCGATGAGTTCCCCCCTCTAGAGCATGTTCAGTGTCCCGGGAGCAAACCCCCACGCGGCAGTCCCCGCTGCCGATTGGTTAAGGTCAAACGTTTCGACGCCATCTCTGCTCAATCAGATACACTGTAACGCTAGAAATAATAACCGAGAGGCACAGGTTGCCTTTTTATTTCTGAATTAAAGTTGCACTGATAAGTTTAATAATGAGCTGGCTTGCGGTTTGCTTTACTTGACCCAGCTTTTGTTTAAGAGAGAAAAAAGAAAATCGCATAAAAAATTGTGTGGCGTTTATTCCAGAGGAAATATAATAATTAAATAAATAAAATATGACATGTGAGGCTTTGTACAGGACACGGATGATGTACTTCTGTATTTATAGACTTTTTTTTCCTTTTTTTTTTTGTGGTTTCTTTTCAATATTTTTATTTCATTCCAGTAATGCATTCATCCCATTTTGATACCGTATTTTGTGTTTTTACTATTTTATTGTACTATTTTATATATATGTATTGTTCATATTTACTTTATTAGCGTCAGAGTTTCATGTATTGAGGCATTGTTTCTGCCTCTTTTGGAGAATCTGAGAAGTCTCTTAAAAGGTCCTTTTAGATGTTAACAAGTATATTGATTGATAAATGGTCATTTCCCTTCCATTTTTCGGATACTTAAAGGTTGACCTATCGATCCATGGCCGCGTTGATCCTGAAAATACAAAGAAATTTGTCGTATTATACATTTGTCGACCTTTTTAGCTTCTCTTTGAGTAATCTGTGGGCAATGTATTACCCTTAGTGCTCTGCTAAAGTATTTAATTTGTTCTTGGGTTATATTTGTGTACTAGACCACAAAAAAATGAGTGTGAGATAAGAAGATTACCACTGAGTGGGGCTGGCTGGTTCCCTCTGTTTCAAGTATATCATGCTAAGCTAAGCAACGGATTTGATGCACAGACATGGAGTTAAACAAGGATAACAGAGTCTTTCCCAAATTTTTTGGGGAAAAAAGTGCATCTTGAGTGGAAATTTTATCTTAAATTCTCCAATCATTTTGCTTTTCTACCTTCCAAGAGTCTTCATCGGCTGTTTGCCATCTATTGCCTGAAATATTTCTTCTCATAAACGGTGAAAATAGCCTCTTCTTTTTTTTTTTCCAATGAGAAGGCCTAAATGTTTATGGGACGTGTAGATTTAGAACCATTCCACAATTTGTCTTCTCACTTTTTTTGGGTTCTGTGCTGTCGATGAGTTATGAACGCATGATGCCAGAGCTGCAGGATGCGTTTAGTGTAACTGGAGATCGCGATGTCAAAGTCTTAACTTTGCTCTTTAAAGTGTGGCACAGAGGGTTGTTGTTTTTTTTTTTTGTTTTAAGTTCTGCCCTGTAAATACAAGTTCAAACTGTCTCAGAATAAAGCCACAGAACCGTTCCTGGTCAAATGTGTGTCTGCATGTGGCCTTAAAACCTTGGAGATCAGCGGGTATATCGTAATGTGGTGTAGCCTGGTCTTTGAACGTTGCATTCATCAGCACCGGGCCTGGAAATGCTCTGCAGGAAGGACTGTTTGAAACACGGGATCATGTTGTGGTTCTTATTTTTATGTACAAGTATCCTCCACTTTGCAACGCAAATCTTGAAGCCAGTCAAATAGAATGTCTTTTTTATTTGTTTTTTTTAAATCAAATTTGGATTTCCTTACTTTGTGTACCTGTGTAAAAGCAGTCTGAGTTGGCTTCTTTCTTCTTGCCTTTGAAATAAATAAAGTATTTTACTTAGTAAAAGCATCAATATTGTGTGTCTGTGTGCTTATGTATGTATTATATTTATAGAAGTGTAAAGAAAACAGTCTGCCTACTGAACAAATCGAGCTTATAAAGGGTAGTTAAGTCTTTATGGAATATGATATCAAGAAATAGTTTTGAAGAGCACCAGTGAGGGTCAAGTTGATAACAATTTCCAAAAAGTTTTATGTAAGCAATTAAAAAAACCTTCTAAAAGAACGTCTCCTAAATGCTGAGAACATATCTGAATTTAAACCTCCAAGATGCATTTTGGAAAAAAAGAAATTAATAAGAGTTAATAATAAGAACAACAACTACGTTCCTGGTTCGAATCCCTCTGTATTTTTGTTTCTCCCACCAGCCAAAAACATGCATGTTAGGTTCACTTCTGACTCCAGATTGGCCAAAAGAGTGAGTGTGAGTGATTGTTTGTGTTGTTTGTCTCTGTGTTACCCTGTGATGGACTGGTGATCTGTCCAGTGTGTTCACTCTCCTGTACTTTTAAGGGTCCAAAGGGGTTCCACTGGGGTGGTGCCCCTGAAAGGTGCTCCTGTTGTCCCCTTGTGGTTTGTCCATTTAATGCTTTCAGGGCCTCGAAAAGTACAAATATCTGCCTTCTGGTCCACTATGTTTTATGTACCACCCCACCTCTGGCCCAATGGCAGCTGGGATGGGCACCAGCAAATGAATGGATGAATGGATTAAAAATAAACAGCGAAAATTTTCCAGTCCTAGATATCTGACCTTGATCATTCCAATGCAAATCATGCCTCAAAATAAAAAATAAATACGAAAACAAATATGAAAGGAACAGAAATGAAATGCCTGAACTGGACTTTTCCTCATAATATAATACAGAATGAAGATTAGTTTTCCAACTTCAGCTCTGCAGATATAATCAAATCACAGCATAGAAATAAAGTGTTTTAATGGTCATTGTTGTGTCTGCAAAATACTCAAATATGCCTGTTAAAGCCATCCAAATTTATCATTATGCTTTTTTTTTTGTTAAACTTCAAGGCATTTCTCTTTCAATATTGAATTACATTAAAATCAAACGCCTTGAGGCAGAGAGCGAGTTTTAACTCTCTGGCCAACAGAGGAACTCCTGTCTGCTGCATCAAAGCAAAGAAATAAAAAAATAGAATAAAAAAGGATCCGAAAATAGATCAGAAGCGGCACCTCATAACGAGTAGTGCGAATTATCCTGACAGTCCCAAGACAATCCCCCAGCCAGCTTCACAAACAGTTCACACTCACAGAAACAAAGCAGCAACCAAAATCCAGCACCGGAGCGGCGCTGCGTTGTGTAGTCAGAAAGTTAGGAATGACAGAGGAGAGGAGCAGGCACAGACATCAAGGAGACGCATTCTGGTTTCTAGATTTGATTCAGGAAATTGCATTTCAAAGCACACCACTTTTTAAGCGTGGAGTTTTTAAATAATCCAGCGGCACTCATAAAAGCCTAAAAGTCTTTTTTTTTTAGCTGTGTGTTCTGACACAAGCCTAATCATTACTAATCATCAGAAAATAACTGAATGCATTGACTCAAAACATGATAAATAAATCTAAATATAACACGGTGGGAAACAGAGAGGAATAAATACATTAAAACATGTCTGTTTTGTACAAATACAAAAAAAAGATCACTTAAATTCAAACTGCTTTAGTTTTATTGGTCATTTCTGACTACTTATGGGCCTCAGCTCCACTATATATGTGTTTTTTTTAATGTACAAGTCAAAAGCATTTTACTCCTTTTCAGGAAGTTGAAAAACAAGGATTGCACCACTCTTGAGGATTTTTTTTTGTGTGTTTTGTTGCAAATGCTGATGAGGAAAGATGATGCACGATTTTTCTTCCTGCCACTCAAAGTATAGAAAAAGTCGGTTTAGCACCTAGCTGACTTTTACATTGGATGAGGCAGCTTTTCAGTGTTGTGCTCGCAAAATCTGGAACGGACTTCCTAAAGAAATGAGAGAGGCTTCAATTCTGACAACGTTTAAATCCAGGATGAGAACAGTTCTATGTAGCTGTGTATGTAACTCTTTTTTTCCTTTAAGTTCTAATGCATGACCATACAATGCAATGATCAATGACATAAAGCACTTTGAATTTTATCTTATTTGAAAATGGACATCTGTGGAGGTCAGGAGTCGAAATCAGCCACAGACTAAACACAGTTTTTTTTTTTCTGTCCAAGGACAGACGCTTTTTTTCTACCCAGATTCCCCCACTCCGAATAATAAAAGCTGCTACTTCAGTTGAATGTTTGAAGTCTTCCCTTTGCGACGCTGACGGGTGAATTTTTAGAAGAACGGCGTTTGCTTCTCTGGAGACTTTTCTGTAAAGCAGAAACAGTTCACAGAGACAAGCAGAAGCCCGGTCGTACAGACAGCGGCTTTAGTTGCTCATTTATCATCTGAGGGAGTCGCTTGAAGAAGTATAACAAACAAACCTATCGAGGAATATTCCAAAACCGCCTGGCTTTGCTTTTTCTGTGTGATGATTAGAAGCTTGATCTTCTGTCACAGCCGCTCTTTTCTATTGAACCCAAACGTGTGCACGAGACTGCAACCATTCCCAGAATGCTCTCTGATTTCAGGGGAAATGGTTGAGACAGAACACGCGACAAAACCGATGCTGCCACCTAAACGACTGAATGTTTTTAGGTATATTCGGTCACAGGGAGACTTCTCAATCAGGCGAATGATTTCGGGGAAGACCCACGAACGCCTCACGGTAGAAGAAACGTCGCCTCTTAGGCCCAGAGACGATTCAGCGAGCTTGAAAGTTGAGTTTAGTGAAGCTCTGAAACAGCCTGACAGATGTAGAGCGCGGTGAGGGACACAGGAACGAGACGAAGGAGGAGGAAAGATGTCCACGCAGAGGCTGACAGGCAAACTCTCCAACAACAGAGCATATGGACTGCCTGTGAGTGTGTGTGTAAGTGTGTGTAAGTGTGTGTGACTGAGAGCAGGCGTGTGTCGGTGGGAGCATGCTCACCCTCTGCCCTACTTTCTGACTGATGATGCTGCACAAAAGGCTGAGAGGGAATATCCCATCATGCCACGCTGCTCATCCCATGGGATGGAAGGAAGGAAGGATGGATGGATGGAGAGATGGATGGCTGGGGTGACTAATAGGTATAAGAGGAAAGATGGATGTTAGTAGCATTAGTAAAAAAAATAAAAATAAAATAAAAAATACTGAACGGGCGTCTTTTTGAGGCCCTCACGTCAGCTCGCGCTTTTTCGGTTTTTTGAAAGCGAGTGATGTTACTAAGACTCCAATATTCCATTTCCGGTTACACATTTAAAAAAATAAAAGGTTCTACCAAGACCGTATCAAACAAGATGTTTAACCTGTTACTAGAACATGATAAAGAAATTTAAGCAACCAACCCTTACGGTGCACAATTTCTTGTGTCACAATATAACTTCCATCCACATCATTAAAAAACAAAAAGTTGTAAAATATTTTAGATGCTTTATGTTTGACCAAGTGGTTGGTGTGGTGCTGTATGGAAAACAGATAAAGAGGTATTTGACTGACTTATTATTGCTTTTAGATACACCAGAAACACTTTGGATGAAACATGGGCCAAAAAAGATTTGAGGCGTCCAAAAGGCTTCTTTATCGGAAAAAAATAAGAACAAATCTCATAAATCACTCTGGTTTGAATACCGGTTGGGGTAGGTATAAATAGGTATAAATAAAGTTTAGACATCCCAACCAATCCATTCAGTACATTACTGTATGCACAATGGTTCAAGTTTTAAATTCAATGAATGGAATTAAAGAGAGAAATTGATGGATGGATGAATGGATGGATGGATGGACGGACGGACGGACAGATGGATGACTCAAGATTGTGCATTAATAAAGGAGAAAAAGTATCAAAGTTATTGGATGCTAGATAAACATAAATAGTGTCCATGCTTGGTTGATTAGGAGAAAAGAGTGAAGAGGCAACTATCTGTTAGGATTTTACCTTATTCTCATAAAAAAATATTCCCCCAGCTACATAATTTATGTTCCCTTTTGAATCTGGTTAATCAATTCCTCCCAGCTTTCACCAGAATCTATTCTCCTTCTTTTTGTTGTTAACGAGTTAGTTGTGGAGCTTTTACTTTGAAAGCGGAACTCTCCGCTTCCTGAGTGACGTCGATGACTTGACCTACTCTCTTCCACTCGGCTCGGGGACCAGTGAAGGCAGTTCGGTCTGTCGTCCGGGCTGCCGCGAGTGCTGCCGAACCTCACTTCGGCTCGCATAGGCAGTTAACGGTCGGGGACCTCAGTGGTGAAGCAGCTTCAAACATTCAAGCCGTCTTTTCTTAAAAAACAAAACAAAAAAAATGTTTTAACCTCCGCCAACATTTCAGCTAACGTCTCCCTCACACCACCGGCATCTGTGTCCCGCCAGGAGCCGGAGGAGAAGGGGGGGGGTCCGGCGCGGGGGGAGACAGCGAGGACCGACCGGCATGGACCCCCGAGCGAAGGACCGTTTCGGCGGTCGCCTGGCTTCTCTTGGGGCGGACGGAGGTGACTCGGAGTCCGGGGCCGGCTCCGAGGAGGCAGCCGTGGGCTGCTGCAGTGATACCTTCAGCAGCCTGCCCGACATGGAGCACGAAGCTCTGGAGGAGAAATTAAGGGGACTGGCGTTCAGAAAACAGACCTCGTATAGGTGAGTGAGGAGGATGCTGGGACGGGACGTGATTAGCGACGTAACCGTGCGCATACATCGCTGTTTTTTTTTTTTTGGCCGGTGCCCGGGGTCTGCTCTGAATTTCCGCCGTGCCCGTGGTTATTTGACGTGTTTTGAACGCGAGCGCCGTCGAAGTAATTGCGGTTGGAGCTAGCCGCGAGCTTGTAAACAAAACGTCAGGGAGAGGGCTCGTGCCGGAGAGGGCTCGCGCGGTCCTGTCGTGGCGTCGGGCGAGACCGAAAAACCCCTCACATATGGCTTCACATGGTTGTGCTTTCCCCCCCCCCCTCTCCGGCCCGCTGGGGGCTAGCGTGTCGAT